TTTTCGTATCCCGAGGTACCACTGTATTTTATGTTTCCATAGCAATGAAGTAATCTCTTTTATGCAAAGGAAAAAAAAATCAGGAGCTAAATCTGTAATGTCCACTTTACTAGAATGCTCCTGATTGTGCATATAAAACACATGCACTAAAGTAATAGTATTTGAATCAAATATGTCATATGGGCATATGTTAGGGAATGATTAAATTATGAAAGAATTTAATGCTAAATCCTTTCATTAAGTGATGCATGTGGTTGTGTTTTAATGCATTTCCTAAGAGCTCAGGTCGCATGTAATTTAAGCAGCTAAATTTGGTCTTGGGTTACATTCCTGCTAATCCACTTTCCTCTTTTGTATAATCTGGTTTAGATACTAGTTTCAGATATGAAGATTTTCAGATCAGTAAGTACTAACTGACTCTCAAGAGTGAAACAAATTACTGATGGTTACACACTGACTTGCCATTCAGTGCTTTTATATATATATGAAAAAATTAAAAGCATATCAAAATGTGTAATATTGTGCTTGTTGCAGAACATGGAGTGTGTGTGTGTGTGTGTGTGTGTGTATAGCCTCTTGTAACTATCAGTGGGCCTCCTTCTGGTAGTTTAAATTATTCTGATCTGCAGATGCTCTTCACTGTAAAACCAGTGGTTGTACTTTGTCATTTATGAGGGCAAAATGTCATCAGAATCTGTCAGTTGAACTGCGAGCGAATATAACTATTTTCTGAAATTGATTGGGTCATTGTCTTGCAAGAAGCAGATGCCTGTGACAGTAATTTGGAAGCCTAGTATTTTTAGCTATGTGTTTTTAAAGCATACTGAGATCATTGAAATATTAAAGTAGTCGGTTTAATATTCATATCAGGTCTTGGTTACAATGCGGCACTGTTACAACCAGACATTCTCACTTATGTCAGTGGGATTTAATGTTTGCCCGTGATTGAATTAATTGAGGGCCACAAATTGCCTTGCATTACCTGCTGACTATTCCTGATGCTCCTAAATAAAGTTATGTTCACCATTCTTGTAAGTTGAAAAAAATGCTGTGGACAGTGTTTTATATGAACTCCATGAAGGGATTAGAGTTTCAATATATACAACAGGCTTCCTGCTGTATGATAAGGTGTGTAGCAGGGTAAGCGTATGGCTGCAATGCAAAAGTTAGAGATGTTGGAACAGCTAGGATTGTATATTCAATAAACTTTTTAAAATCTTTTTATTTATTCCAGTATATTTGTGACCACATTTTTTACCACTTATTTGTAATTTTTGGGCAAATCAAGTAGCCACTAAGGGGACAGTTTTTAAAATGGTAGACAACATTTCTTTCAGGCCACTGATTAGTTGTTGACTGTGTTGGTCGCACAGTCAGCCAGTTCTTTAAACTGGATTTGGCATTTTTATCTACCTATCGAATCCTTCCCAAGGACCCGGGATAGGCAGATGTAGTTGTCAGATGGTGTTACAGGTATCATCACAGGATATAAGCTGTTCCAAGTAAAGCTGCCTTTTGCAATTGACTGATGGTGATTTTGTCAATGCTGATGTGTTCAAGTGGTGCTCCAGATGTTTTGGGATTGCATCTAAGGCCCCTATAACTATTGGTATTATTTTTGCTTTCTTTTGCCACAGCTGTTCTATTTCTATTTGCAGTTCTTTGTATTTTGTGATTTTCTCCAGTTCTTTCTCTTCTATTCTGCTGTCTCCAGGTATTGCAATGTCCACTATCCAGACTTCTTTGTCTTTCATACCAACAATTGTTAAGTTTGGGGTGTTATGTTGCAAGTGTTTGTCTGTTTGAATTCTAAAGAGCACTTTAGCATCTTCATTTTCTATTACTTTGTCTGTTTTTTGGTCCCACCAATTCTTGCTTGCAGGCAAATGATATTTCTTGCAGATATTCCAATGTACCATTGTTGCTACTTTGTCATGCTGTTGTTTGTAGT